AGGAGAAGGACAGAGGACAGATGATGGGTAGGGTGAGTAGGCTGAAGCTAAAATCAGCCTCTCCACTTGGCTACAATAAAAATATTTAATTATACCGAGTGATACTTTGGTTTACAAACTAGATCTGTTTCTTGTTCTCACCCTTAGGACCACAGTGACAATGTGCTTAAAGTTGCAGGGACAATGGCCCATGAAATGGGCCATAACTTTGGGATGTTTCATGACGCCCATGTTTGCAAGTGCCCTGCTACAATCTGTGTGATGAACAATGCACTAAGGTAAGGCTCTCTGGGAAGATGCTATTTCCCCCTGTTGTTTTTTTTTTTTTTTTTATTTTTCTCTGGGGTGTGCTACTCTTTTATGTCATCTTCCATAACATGGTCAAGGTTTTAAATGATTAAATAGCAACATCACAAATGTGTATCTATACCAAACTACTTTATCCCTCCCCTATATGCTAATATTTTTCATTAACTAACACATAGTTTAAACATCTTTTCTCTTTGCTCTTAGGGTGATTTGTCATTTTATCCTCACCTATATGAAATCATTAGCATTTATCAAATTTTGATTAAGTTTAGATTGGGTGGCAATAAGGAAAAAGTTCTAGGAGAAAAATCTAAAGAAGAAAGTTCTTACAGGAAGATGAAGAGAGAGTCTGTGAAAAGAGATTACTCATTTCTGCCTTGCCTTAGGCAAACTTACCAGGCAATTTTATCTTTAAAAATTCCAGACTCCCTTTTACACAATCATTTCCTCTTTTTCATTTCCTTCTTAGCTTCTCGATATAGGATTAGTCTCCATTCTGCGAAATAGCATATGGCTGCATGCCAACTACATATCTGATGCTATTTTTTCAAAATATTAGTACATTTAATATATATATATATTGATTTCAGAGAGGGAGAAGGAGAGAAACATCAATGATGAGAGAAAACATTGATCGGCTGCCTCCTGCAGGCCCCACACTAGTGATTAGGCCTGCAACCTGTGCATGTGCCCTGACAGGAAAGGGAACCCTGACCTCCTGGTTCATCGGTCGACGCCCAACCACTGAGTGACACTGGCTGGGCTGCATTTTTGTTTTTTTAAACAGCAGCCCGGATTCTGTATTTTGCTCATTTAGGTGGAGGTGTTTATGTCCATTCAGGTGGGCTAATTTAGTATGTGAATGAGCTTATGACTTGGTAGTTGATCAGTGGGTTTGATTTGCTCTTTTGGGGAAGGTTTCGGGTGTACCATCCCCAATGTCTGATATTTGTCCCCTACCTGCTCAGCATAACTGCATTCTCTTTTCTCTTTCCTTATCTTCACAGCTTCCATATACCTACAGACTTCAGTTCCTGCAGCCGTGTCAGCTATGCCAACTTTTTTGAAGATAAATTATCAAATTGCCTCTTTAATATTCCGTTACCTACAGATATCATATCCAACCCAATCTGTGGGAATCAGTTGGTAGAAATGGGAGAGGACTGTGATTGTGGGACTTCCGAGGTACAACTGAGTCCTTTATATAAAAGTTTAGTTTGTTTTTAAATTGCCAAGAAGATAAGCTATACAACTCTATAGTGTTTGTACACTTGAAATCTATGTAATTTTATTAACCAACATCACTGTGATGCATTTAATTTTAAATAAAATGAAACACTTTTGAGATATATTTTTAAAAATGATATAATGTGGTTCACTATAAAAGTTCATGTTTCTTGTGATTTTTGTATATTCACTTGTAAATACTTGCCAGGCCAGCTTTTCTAACAATGAATCCCGCATTGCTTAACAGACCTTCTTGGGTTTCTTCCCTATATCTAGTTTTTTAATACCACTCACCAGCCGGGGCTTTGTGTCCTTATCCCCCCCTTTCTGTCAGAAGTACTTCACATCTCTTACATGCCCTATGCCTTCTTGAGCAGTCACTTTAGACAGAGCACTGCGACAGTGCTCAGAGAGCGGAAGTAGCTTGCCCAAGGTCACCAGGCTGGTAAACGAAGGAGCCACGGTGTGGACTCAGGGGTGCTGTTCAGCCGTCCCACAGTGCCCTGCACAGTTTATCCCTTGGTGACTCAGGACTTGTTACCATTATAAGTGCTTGGCCTGATCCCACCTTGTTCACAGGGCAGCCGGGATTCTGCATAGGACCCTTGCCCCACTCTTATTAACACTTAATATAAGTAACATGTCAAACCCCCAGGGGTCCAGCTTCTCAGTAACTTCAAGTAGGATTTCAGATCTATTCATTCTGTGAGAAAGAGCAAACTTTCTCAGATGATACTTATATTTGAAATTGGGTAAGAATTTTAAGCTTAAATATTGTAATTCTGAATATGCCATTCGTCTTGGGGGATCTCAATTGCTACAACAAGAAAGGGGCACGATTTCTCAAAAACTAGGCAAGGAGAACAAAACAAAGTATACTGCTTTATGTAGAGTTGAATTGGATGTAGAAATTTAATAAAGAACTATATTTTTAGACTTTCAGTTACATGTTCTAGATATTAAATTTACTGCTGAATAGATACATACCTGATCAGTTGAATTAATTATGTTCTTTATTTAGATAAATGTTATTTTTTTAATAAACTGTCCTTTGTGTGTTTGTTTGCTCTCATATTTTCAGTATTAATATGGGAAGCTTGATGAACTAAAAAAAGATATTCAAATTAAAAACTATATAAGTAGAATCAGAAAAATACCAAACCCTTCGTTGTTCGAAAATCTCAGCTTTTCTAATGCTAAGCTTTGTTGTTGTTTTTTATTTTCCTGAAAATTATGTTCAGACTATACCAAAATGAGGTCTGTGCAATGAACAAATTGTATTATGAATTGTGCTGAAAGGAGACCAAAAAGTAATTTGGCATTTGCAATTGTTTCTGTATTCCTTAGGAATGCACCAACATCTGCTGTGACGCTAAAACATGTAAAATCAAGGCAGGTTTTCAATGTGCGTTAGGAGAATGCTGTGAAAAGTGCCAGGTAAGATTCTTTTATTCTGTCTTAACCATGATGACTACCCTTTATTTTTTCATGTTAAAATCTCAGGGGTTGTGTTAAATGAAATAAGGAAAACAGCATTTTCCTGTCTCTACATAATGCTACCTGCCACTTATCAAGTTCTCCCTGAGGGCTTGACAAACATGAGCTATTTCATCCTCCAACACCCCTTTGAAGTAGGTATTAGTATCTCATTTTGCTTTTGAGGGAAAAGAGGCTCAGAACAGAAAATGTGCAGATTAATAGGATCACTAAATGGCAAACTCCAAATTTACTGGTTCTTGTAAACGTAACTCCCTTAAGATGGAAGATCCTCTGAAGTTACAGATTGAAACCTCCTTGAAAGTCTTGACAACGATGCATTCAATAAAGTCAGAAATAACTTCCTTCTTTGCATCTAGGATATTGCTTGGTTTTCTTTGGTACTTTTCTCCTTGATGTTTCTATAATGTTTCTACTACAAATCCAGAAATATTGATTGCTTAAAGAATCAGAGTGTTTGCCAAAATCAGTGGAATTGACATAATAGGAGATGGCTTTAGCTTATACCAGGTAAATGTAAACTGGAATATAATGATGCCCCTAACTATCTTGGCAATAAAAGGCCAAAGGGAAAATATTATTTGTGTTAATTTGAAATATTTGGAAAGCCAGGTGGAATACAGCCTTCTCTCAATGTCTCTCCCCTCCCAACCCCCCCCGCCCCCTGCAGTTTAAAAAGGTTGGTACAGTGTGCAGACCAGCAAAAGATGAGTGTGACCTGCTGGAAATGTGTGATGGTAAATCTGGTATTTGCCCTGCTGACCGATTCCAAGTCAATGGCTTCCCTTGCCAGGATGGGAAGGGCTACTGCTTCATGGGGATGTGCCCCACGCTGCAGGAGCAGTGCACCGAGCTCTGGGGAGCAGGTAGGAGGACACATCCCAGTGTTGCTGGAATTCCTGCCTCTCTCTACACATATGGAGCAAAACAAAACATGCTACTGCAAGTGACAGTGTTTAATCATGGCCAAAATGGCGTTCTGTCCCAACCTTCTTTCTTAGCAACTACACCACTGCATTTTAGGATCAAAGGTCGGTTTGGGGTTTGCTAGATTTAGCAAATAAAAATAAGAATGGGCCAGTGAAACTTAAATTTTAGATTAACAATCTTTTTTAGTATTCGTATGTCTCATGCAATGAGAGGCAAACTCAACAAAAACCTTTATTTGTGTATCTGAGATTTAAATTTAACTGCTGGGTTCAGTATTTTGTCTGATAGCACCAACCAAGATATTTTTCAGATAAGTAAACCCTTGGAAGTTTGTATGCATGCATGTGCATACATGTGCATTTGTATGCATGTATATATGTAGGTGTGTGGTGGTGATCAGAGGTGGACAGAGAGTTAAAGAAAGGGGGAGAAGAGAAAAGGATGACACTTGGAATGCAGAAGAGCAATGAAGACAAGTGAATGATCTTTAATGCTTATCCTATATAATAAAAGGCTAATATGCAAATCAACCAAACTGCACAATGACCAGTCGCTATGACACACACTGACCAACAGGGGGCATATGCTTAACTCAGGAGCTGTACCCCTGGTTGTCAGTGTACTCCCACAGGGGAGCACCCCTTAGTCAGAAGTTGGGCTCACAGCTGGCAAGCGCAGTGATGGTGGAAGGAGCCTCTCCTGCCTCCGTGGCAGTGCTAAGGATGTCTGACTGACAGTCCCCAAGGGCTCCCGGACTGTGAGAGGGCACAGGCTGGGCTGAGGGACCCCCTAGAGTGCACAAATTTTGTGCACTGGGCTTCTAGTTTTGTATACAATACCAGAATTTTAGAGGCCATATTTCCTAATTATACAATAAAAAAGAAATAAAAGCATAACTCAAAAATCTGCAAAAACTTTGAACCAAAATTTAAATTGTTCTAAATAACTTTATTAGAAAGGCAATTTTAAAAATATCAATTCTTTGGGCTTCCTGGATATGATGCATTGTATAAATATATATAAAATTAAATAAATATATAAATATTTAATTTTGCCACACTCCCAGATTCCTACTTAAATGGCTGAAGGAATCTTTTTCAAATATGGATAATACATATTCTTAAAATTATTTGAAGAGAATTATCACATGTAAGAAAAATTTTATAATTTCTAAAAATATAAAGATAAAATATTAAGGAAAGTAAAAGTAATTATTGACTCACAATACATCCAAAATAAAAGAAACCTGGGAAATAAATGGACATGAACATAGAGAAATTCCTCGGTAAAACCCTGTGTGTCAGGGAAGCATGGGCAGAAACCCAACTTAAGGAGCAAATTTTGATACCAAGTTAATCTTCTACACTTGTTAAACTGGCAAAGCTGGGATACAGTTAATGCCTAATGTTGGTGAAGATGTGATAAAACATCTAGGTTCACATACTCTGGTAAGAATATGAATCAGCACAATCTTTTCAGGGAGAATTTGGAAAAATGCATATACAACCTAAAAAAGTACTCCTTTTCCTAAAAATTATACCTGAGAATATTTACTTACATGTATTTACCCAATACTTTTAAAAAATAATAGTGGATATTTGGGAAATATCTTCAAGTCCAAGAATAAGGATTAGCCAAACACATTATAGTGTACGTAACCAGTGGTTTCATTACAGCTATGATACTGTAGAACATTTAATGCCTGGAGAAAGGACAATTAGGGAAAGTAATTAATGAAGTGTGATACAGGTATATGAATGGTACTTTCCGCAATATTAACAGTAGTAACTCTGAATTTTGGGGATTAAGAATATTATTTTTCAGCATAGATGGACTTAGAGGATATTATGCTAAGTGAAGCAAGCTAGTTAGAGAAAGGCAAATACCATATGATTTCACTTATATGTGGGATCTAATGAACAAAATAGAAAGAAATTTATGATCCAGAGAAGAGACTGACAGCTGTCAAGGGGGCGGGGAGTGGGGGCTGGGTAAAAAAAGTTGAAGGGATTAAGCAGTACACATCAGCAATTACAGAATAGCCACAGAGATGCAGATTAAAGCATGAGGAATGTAGCCAATAACATCTAGAAAACTGGGTATAGGGCAGATGGGTGCTTCAGGGAGTAGGGGGCCACTCTGTAGAGTACATGGTTTTCTGGCCACTTTGCTATACATCTGAAACTGGTGTGAAATGGTACTGCATGTAAACTGTGGATATACCCTATATAATAAAAGAGAAACATGTAAATTGACCGTCCCCCCACTACATTCACCAGTCAATCAGGAGTGAGAATGCAAATTAACCTGACAAAGATGGCGGGTTAATTTGCATACATGGGCGCCAGGCAGAGAGCACAGCAGGAGAGCAGGAGGCTTGGGGGGACATGGCTCGCTCAGTCACTCCCAGTGACCGAGGGAGTCACAACCCCAAAGCCACCGGGGGGAGAGCAGAGTGGGAGAGCCAGCAGAGAGTGGAGTGGCCTGGGGAACTTGGCTCCCCAAGCCACCAGACGGAGAGCAGAGAGAGAGAGTTGGCGGCTTGGAGGACTTGGCAAGTGAGAGGCCGCAGGATGGAGACAGAGCAGGAAGGGAAAACCAAGAGCATGGGGAGCACCAGGAATTCTGGGAATTGTAGTTCTGGTGGCAGAAGGATCTCCTAGACACTAGAGCAAAGTGAGCCTGGAACAAGTTACTGTTGCGGTGGGGATGGAGGGAAAGCAAAGGTGAGAGACATAAGTAAAATCAGAGTGTCTAGGAAAAATTAAAGGAAAGATATTCTAAAACTTCCAGAAAATCTCCACCAATGAAGCAAAGAAAAAATAAACCTCTATTATTCTGTGAGCAACAAACCAAACTGCAAAACTGGGTTGGGGGTCTCAGACAATTCGCTCATATGATTGCAAAGACAGACAGAAACTCCCAGATTGGAGATGGCTCCCCTGAGGGCTCCCAGATTGGAGAGGGTGCAGGTCAGGCTGAGGAACCCATCCCCAGTGCATGAATCTTCATGCACTGGGCCTCTAATATATATATATATATACACACACACACACATATATATATATATATATATATATACACACACACATATATATATATGTATATATATATGCTTTTTCCATATTATTAATGCCAAATTATTCCAATTTTTAGTGTATTTTGTTATAATGAGGGACTAATAAATACTACTAAGATATCAATTAATAAAATATGGTAATAAACTCATTTTATCATTTTGAACATTGAAACATAAATTTATTTAAAACAGTTTGAGTTTACAAATCATTATAATAGACTGAATAATTTTTCTTGAAATCAGTGCAATACCTTCATGGATTTTTAATTATTTTAGCCTAGTTTGTTGTTTTTTGAAAGACTGAATTTAAACTTTTTCCTCATGTTATTTATTGATACTTAAGAGGGACATTCATACGGAACAGGAGCATAAGTCTTGGACTCAGACTGGGTGTGAAGTCTGATTTTTCATCTCTCTTCGTGACTTAACCAGTATGATTCTCCACTTCCTTGTTGATAAAATGGGAATGATGATAACCATTACAATGGCTAATATTTCTCAATCACTTATCACTGACTGGCCACTCTTCTGATTGGCTCACATATACTAACTCACTTAGTCCTCAGAACAGCTCTGTGAGGTTGGTACTATTATAAGTCCTCATTTTACAGCTGAGCAAACTGCCAGGTTAAGGTACTTGCCTGAGGACACACAGCTGCTCAGTCTTAATACCTGAGCTGCTAACCACCATTTTCTGTTGCTTCTCTGACGGGGATCTGAGGAAGATTACACGAGAAATCAAATATGTGATGCTCATTGCTCTCCTTGGCAAAACAGGAGTTTGACCAAGCATAGCACTAGCTGCCACAGTAGGAGCACATAGCAGCAGGATAGCATTCCATTGCTTGCTTGTGAGTTAATGTAATGGCTGTGGCTCTCCTGGTTCTATCTCCATATTTACATAAATTTCTTGTAACTTTAAGCAAATAATTCAGATGTTTTCAAATATTTAGATAACCATTTATTCAGAAAGAGAATATGTAGACATTGTTTTTCATTCCAGTCAGCTCTCTTGATATCAAATTGTTGCAGGCTATAATTCTGAGAATGAGCATTCCATCCTGTGGGGCATAACTATGTTTCCATCAATGACAAACCACATACTAGTATACTATGGTGGCTCTGCAAGATTATAATGGAGCTGAAATTTTTCTGTTACATATTGATGTCATAGCCATCATGATGTCATAACACAATGCATTACTCATGTGTTTGTAGTGATGCTGGTATAAACAAACCTACTGCACTGCCAGTTGTATGAAAGTATAGCATATACAATTATGTACGGGACATAATATTTAAGAATGAAAATAAACAATTATGTTATTGGTTTATGTATGTACTGTAGTGTCCTTTTATTCATTATTTTAGAATGCTCTCTTTCTACTTACATAAAAAATTTCTGCCGTAAAACAGCATGTCCAGTTATGCTGAAAGCAGCCTCATACATCTCATGTATACTGTGTCTGCTAATGCATCGTCTTCTCTTGTTATAGATTTAATCTCATGTTGTGGTTCATGACCCCTAAATGTACAAAATCCACTTTTAATGTTGCCAGTAAGAGGCCACATTGAGTGATTGGCCTGGAAATAAAATTTAAAGTGGTGGTTTTGCTCGCCAGTCAGGCACGTCCCATTCCACCACAGCTAGGATCTTGAAGAATAAGAACAAAGTGACAGAAGCTGTTAAAGGATCAGCTTCTTTGAAGGCAATGGACTAACAAAAATTTAAGAACCATATGATTTCACTACTATGTGAAATATAAAGCTGAAAGCAACAAATAAACAAAACAATCAAAAACTTATAGATATAGACAATAGCATGGGGGTTACCAGAGAGAAAGGGGGGTGGGGTAGTAAAGGGAAAAAGGGGTCCAAATATATAGTGACATAGGAATTTGACTTTGGGTGGTAAACACACAGTACGATACACAGGTGATGTATTATAGAATTGTACACTTGAAACTTATATAATTTTATTAACCAATGTTAGCCCAATAAATCTTTAAAAAATGAAAAAGGCTTATATCCAACATAGAGAAAGTTTTAATGACCTGGATTGAGGACCAGACACAGAAGCGTGTCCCTCTCAGCATCATGACAATCACAGCCAAAGCAAAAAAGTTTATGTTGGCAGAAAGACTGCATGACTACAATGTTGAATTTACTGCCAGTTCTGGGTGGTTGAAATGTTCCAAGAATCCTTATACAGAAGCATGTCCCTCTCAGCATCATGACAATCACAGCCAGTTCTGGGTGGTTGAAATGTTCCAAGAATCCTTATTCATTACACAATGTGAAACTGAGTAGTGAGTCTGCACATTATTGATGTGAAGGCAGCTAAATAACTTTTGAAAACTATAGATAAGCTAATTGTAGAGGAAAATTACTTGCCAGAGCAAATATTCCATATGAATGAAACCTTATTCTGGAAGCAGATGACTCAAAGGACCTTCATCACAAGAGGCCATTCGATACCGGGTTTCAAGGTTTTAAGGACAGGATAACAGACTTGCTTGGGGGCAGTGTTGCAGGCTACAAATTGAAACCCTTTGTGATCTGGCACAGTGAGAACACCAGAGCCTTCAAGCTTATCTGTACGCACAAGCAGCCATTGTACTACAGGAGCAATAAGAAGTCATAGATGATCCAATTTCTCTTCCAAGATGCTCTCCTAAATTGCTGTGCCAATGAAATGGAGAAGTACAGTTTGGAGAATAGTATGCCTTTCAAAACTTTGTTTGTTGTTGATAATGCTCCTGGATATCCTCCTTTTATTGGTGATCTTCATCCCCACCTCAAAGTGATGTTTCTCCCTCCAAACACCACCTATTTGATCCAACCAATGGATCAAGCAAGTACAGCATCTTTTAAGACCGAAGACCTGAGGAGGACCTTTGCCCAGGTTTTGCTGCAACTGAAGAAGATACCAATGTAATTCTGGAAGGATTACAACATCTATGACGGCATCAAGAACCTTGACTAGGCATGAGGTGGTCACCAGGCGGTGTACACATGGTATTTGGAAAGAAGAGACTCCGGAGTTTTATCCATGACTTCAAATGATTTTTCAAGGATGAGGAGGTTGTAAAAATGAACAGAGCTCTACTTGGGATGGCAAACAACTTTAACCTGGGTGTGGATGAGGAGGACATTGAGGTGCTCCTAAAGGTGGTTGCTGAGGAATTGACTAAGGAGGAGTTGTTGGAACTGAACAGGAGCACATAGTTGAATAAGAGGCAAGAGGAAAAGAAATCGCAGGGGAAAAGAAGAACCCCAAGAAAATTCACAGTGAAGGGCTTAACAGAAGCTTTGGCAGACTCTGACAAACTCCTTAAAAAGTTTGAAAACATGGATACCAGCACCAAAAGGTTTCCATTAATAGAGAGGAATGTTCATTGTGCATTATCTGCTTACAAGCAAATCTATGATGAAACAAATAATTCAAACAAACCACCATGGACATATTTCTGAAAAGAGTGACACCCCCTCAGGCAGAGCCTCAGCAGATCCTCCAGGAGGAGCTCCAGAAGGCACTGCCATCACAGGGCAGGGCAGCTCCAGGAGTTACTGCCCCTGATCACCCTCCAGTGGGGCAAGATGTGCAGGTGGTAGACAATGATAGTGATAATCCTGATGCTGGCTAGGCCTAGGCTAATGTGTGTGCTTGTATCTTTGTTTTAACAAAAACATTTAAAAAGTAAAAAAAAAAATAGAGAAAAGTTTCTAGAATAAGTATATAAAGAAAAATTGTTTGTGCACAGCTCTGTACAACGAGTTTGTGTTTTAAGCTGTGTTATTATAAAGTAGTTGAAACATCCTATATAATAAAAGCCTAATATGCAAATCACCCAACTGGTGGAACAACTGGTCCCTATGATGCGCACTGATCACCAGAGGGCAAACGCTTAACGCGGGTGCTGCCCACAGGCCCCAGGCCAGCCAAGGCGGGTGCCAGTCGGGGAGCCCCCCCGATCACCCCACCAGTCACCCCACAGATTGGCCCTAATCACCAGCCAGGCCTGGGCATCCTACCTGTGCACGAATTTCGTGCACTGGGCCTCTAGTTTAAAAATATAAAAGTTGTATAAAGTAAAAAAGTATAATAGGCTAAGTTTAGTTTATTATTGAAGAAGGAAAATTATCTTGTTATACATTTAGTGTAGCCTAAGTGTACAGTGTTTATAAAGTTTACAACACTGTACAGTAATGTCCTAGGCCTTCACATTCACTCACCACTCACTCACCCAGAGCCACTGCCAGCCCTGTAAGCTCCATTCATGATAAGTGCCCTACAGAGGTGTTCCACTTATCTTTTATACCATAATTGTATTGTACCTTTTCTGTGTTTAAATACATGAATACTTACCATTGTGTTACAATTGCCTACAGTATTCAGTACAGTAACATGCTGTACAGGTGTGTAGCTTAGGAACAATAGGCTATACCATATGGCCTAGGTCTATAGTAAGCTATACTCTCCAGGTTTGTGTAAGTAAACTCTATGATATTCACACAATAACAAAATCACTTAAAGATGCATTTCTTATAATGCATTGCTATTGTTAAGGAATGAATAACTACAAATAGCATTTCTCATGATGTTTTTAAATTTATTTTATTTTTTAATTAAAGTTTACATTCAACACTATTTGTATTGGTTTCAGATATACAGTCAAGTGGTTAGACAATCATATAATTTACATGGTGATCCCCCTGATATTTCAAGTACCCATCTGGCACTGTGCATAATTATTACAATATTGTTGACTATATTCCCTAGGCTATTGGTTTTATATTCCATTAACCCTTTGTAGCATTGACCTTCCTTTCTGTTTTCTTTGCAAATATGTTCCTACTGATTCTGCCTGGTCCCAGGAACTGAGGTTGCAGATAAGTCATGCTACAGGAAGAATGAAGGTATTTCAAAGTATGGGTACTGCCGCAAAGTGAACAATACACGTATTCCCTGTAAAGCAAAGTAAGTGGCTTTCAAACAATACTTTGAACCTTTTTGCTTCACAGACTAGAGAAATTGTTTACTTACAGATACACGTTCTGATTTATTCCATTTCAAGGAAAAGTTAATTTGGAAATCATTCATTTGACCGATAGTCATTGAGTGACTATTATGTGCCGTGTTTCTAGCTAGGCACTGAGTTAACAAGAGAAATAAGAATTAATGGCTTTTTTCAAGTCCGTCCTGGTGGGTGTTTTAGATGATATCAGGTACAATCACTTTTAAAGAGAATGAATGTTTGAGATGGGACAAGCAAGGTAAATAAATGGTCCTGGTTGGAAATATGTCCATTGATATTCCAGGATATTTTAGGTTCTTTCCCATCTGATATTTTTCATTATGATTCTAGGGGCACAAATATTTACCTACCTAGAGAAATAATAAATGCTTGTACAGTTTTATGTAAACTTGCCATGGAATTATATCAAGAAAAAAAAGGCAGCAAGAGAAAAAATTGACAATTCACCTGAAGAATGTTTTAATCTTATATTGATATTATAGAAAAAGTATAGAATATTATATGCAATAAACTTGGTATTTTTCTCTAAGATTTTTTGATTGTGCAATTCTAAGATGACATTAAAAACTCAAATTATAATAGACTAGAGGCCCAGTGCACAAAAATTGTGCACTCGCGGGGGAGGGGTCCCTCAGCCTGGAGCCCTTGGGGTATGTCTGACTCATGGCTTAAGCCCACTCCCTGTGGGGGGTGGGAGTAGCCGCAGTCAGCCATCCTTAGTGCTGCCACCAGGGGGCAGCTCCTGCATTGAGCATCTGACCCCTGGTGGTCAGTACACGTCACAAGGACTGGTCATTCTGCTGTTTGGTCAATTTGCATATTACCCTTTTATTATATAGGATTAAAATCCTAGTACCTGCTCCAAATTTTTCACTAAGTAATATGCAACAAGAGGTTAAACAAGATAAGCATTTCTCAAAGTTTTTCTATTAAATACTATTTTTTATAGATGATAGATATTGCCAAGCAAACTATATTTTGTGTTGTTGTTTTTTTTTAAAATTTTCTAAGCAAAATGTATTTTAGACATAGGATAATCTCTTGGGGAGGTTGGGCCTAAATGATGGACTATCATATTCTGTGCTTTCTCCTTTATAGGATATCAAGGAAGATTCAAAGGGGGAAATATGTATAAGGAAATATTTTTGGGAAAAGAGTACTATGTAGTATGAGTGGTAGTGAGTGGGGAAAGAGAGCAGGGTAGTTGCGTTTTTCATCGACAACATGTGCATATCCCATTTTCTTATATCATCATTGTGATCACAACTAGAGGCACAAGCATTTCATTCTACCCACAGGCTGCCTTTCTAGTCACATTTTAATAGTAACTGGCTGTCATGAGAGTAAGCCTGTAATTCCCTGTATCCTAGAATCTTCATTATAAGCCTTCCCTTAAGTGATTCAAGAAAAACAAATTTGAAGAGGATGCATGCCTTTCTCTACTGCTCACTCATATTTTTCTACAACCATCAAAGACATCAGAAGGATTCAATTCTATCTGCTCTCAGAATACTTTTTCACCCTCCTCTGAATTCTGCATAAAGCAATGGTCTGCACTTTTATTGGCGTTGACTTTACTCTCTTCGGTGGTAAACGCATGGTTTTCTTGAGTGCTGAGCAGTGTCATCTACCTTTGCAGGGAGATAGTTCTTTCAAGTAACCCCACATGAGGATCAACTAAGTCTAAGATTTATATTGACACAACCATAGTGGAAATAATTCTACTGCAATTCAAGAAAAGTCAACTGAAACAAGATAGAAATTGACTTCCTAGGTACCCTCCATTGTATTAGAAATCCATTATCCTTATATTGTCTAGCTCTATCATATATGTGACCTCCATTCCCAAGCATTTCCATTGGTCTGTGTTGGCTTCTTCAGAGCCAGCCATCACTTTCCAATAAGCAAAAAGGACAAACAAACAAACAAGAACAAAAAAGTAAGGCCACCTTTAAGAATTTGTACTTAAGATTCTTCTTCTTTCCCATTGTCCAAAACTAGTAGCATGGGAATCTGAGAAATGTGTTTTTGTTGTTGTTACAGCAACAATATGCCTTTCCATATCAATGGTGCTATTACTGAGGAATAAGAAAAATGTTGATATAAAGAAGAACCAGGAGTCTCTGCTATAGGGAGAAATACCTTTAGTTCAATCTGGATAGTTGGGGAGCTATCAACTGCAATTTGGTCCTGGTAATTTAACTGCAGCCCTTTTTTTACTTTTCCTTAGTGATGCCATATGTGGGAAGTTGTTCTGTCAAGGTGGGTCAGATAATTTGCCCTGGAAAGGACGTATAGTAACTTTCCTGACATGTAAAACATTTGATCCTGAAGACAGCAGTGAAGAAATAGGCATGGTAGCCAATGGAACTAAGTGTGGAAATAAGAAGGTAGGTTAAAATCGTGGCTTTTATTCAAATGTTTTTTTAGTTTTAGTTTATTGTTTAGTTTTTCAAGGCATCCTTGTGTTTCATAGGAGCAGTTTGCAAAGCAATGCTTATGTCATTCATTTAGGCCTACCTGCATGCATTCCTTCAATATTATTTAATCAGTACCTATTATGTGCTTAGCACTAGGTTGTTAAACTTAGGTAAGTTTTATTGCCCCTAAATTGGTAGGTTTTCAATGAATGATAGTCTCACTGATAATGATAGATCAAAATATTATGTATTTTTATATAAATGATAATTGTTAATATTGTAGAAGATGTGATATTAACATGTTTTCTGTAATATTTTTTGTTGGAATGGGTACCTTGTATCATGTGCTATGCTCAGCTCTATGCTAAATATCAGTCTTAAGAGAGGAAGTGGAGTAAGGAGATGACCCCTGAGGAATGAAGTGAAGTAAGAAAATCTTTAAAGAGGACTCTCTAAATATTTTATTGTATATATTTATCTATATCTATATCTATATCTATATCTATTATATCTACCTATCTATCTCTATCTTTATCTCTATCTATATCATCTATATCTTTACAACTTTATTGTTGAAAGTGTTACATATGTCCCCATTTTCCCCCATTGACCCCATCTAGCCTGCTCCCACTAACTGCCCCAGGCCTTCACCCCCTATTGTCTGTGTCCATGGGTTATGTATATATGCATACAAGTTCTTAGTTGATCTCTTCCCACCCACCCACTCTGCCTTCCCTCTAAGATTACGTAGATTCCATCTTCCTATTTTCAAAAGAATGCTGTGATTTCCCAAATGAAAAGGTAAGTTTAATAATGGTATTAGTGGCTAATAATATAAGACCAAATTCCAAACAATTTGAAGAACTGATACTATTGGACATTAGTGTCAACTTCTTGTTTTTCACATCATTTTCAGGTTTGCATTAATGCAGAATGTGTAGATATCGAGAGGGCCTACAAATCGACCAATTGCTCATCTAAGTGCAAAGGACATGCTGTAAGTTTTAAAAATGTTTGCCCAATCTTGCTGAATCTTATGTAATTTTTAGGTCAGTTTTGATTATATAAAAAAATGTGTCAGTAACTGTGAAAATAGAAGGATCTCTTACCCTTTGAGACAACATGGAGGGACCTGGAGATTATTATGCTAAGCTAAATAAGCAAGTCAGAGAAAGACAAATATCCCATGATCTCACCTATATGTAGAGTCTAATGAACAAAATAAACTGACAAACAAGATAGATCCAGAAACATGGAAGCATGCAACAGTCTATCACCAGAGGGAAGGAATAAGGCAGGAAGAGACTAACCAAAGAACTTATTTGCATAACCCATGGACATAGACAATAATGTGGTGAAGGCCTGGGGAGGGCACAGAGCAGACAGAAAGAGGGGTGGGGGTGGGGAAGGGGGATATTTGTAATACTTCAGCAATAAAGATAATTGTTTTTAAAAATCCACCAACCAAAAAATAAAGCTTATGTTTGTCTCCGTCACTAGGGTGTTTCAATGAAGGAAGGGGGTTGTAATACTTCAGCAATAAAGATAATTGTTTTCAAAAATCCACCAACCAAAAAATAAAGCTTATGTTTGTCTCCGTCACTAGGGTGTTTCAATGAAAAATTTCTTTCAAGAACCTGGTCTATATGAAATTCCTATTATTGATTTGTATGTTCTGTAGATAGCTGAAAGATGCAGAATTGGGGTTATTCCATTTTTAGAATGGACTTAATGGTGGATGGGTAGGCCCTTGGGTCAGTGGACAGTCTAGCATGGAAACTGACAAGATCATTGATCCCGCAGGTGTGTGACCATGAGCTCCAGTGTCAGTGTAAAGAGGGCTGGGTCCCTCCTGACTGTGATGACTCCTCTGTCGTCTTCCGTAGGTAACATTCCACATCTAACCTGAGGAATTGCTGTCTTTTCCAAGCTTTTCTTTCAGATTACAAAAGATTTCATTGCCTCTTTTCTCTCCTCTTGAAATTCCTGTCCTGCAAATAATGAATCCACAATGTTAATCTTCAAAGTTTCTTTAACAGGTTTTTAATCCAATTTTCCACATCCTTATGCATTTACTCTACATACAAAAAAGATTTCTTCAAGTTTATATTTGTACTCTCACTTTAACTTCCCAAATTCTCTTTTCTGATTGTTCCATTTTCATACCATCCTTAACTTAAAGTATAGATATAACATCCTCATAAAACTCTCTAAGAATATGACAGATTGTTTTTATAGATTTAATTCTATGAACTGAATTATCTCTATTTCTTTTTGAAAATGTATTTTTATTGATTTCAGAGAGTAAGGGAGAGAGAAATAGAAACATCAATGATGAGAGAGAATCATTGCTCCACTGCCTCCTGCATGGCCCCTACTGGGATTGAGCCCACAACCCAGGCATGTGCCCTGACCAGTAATCGAACCCTGACCTCCTGTTTCATAGTTTGATGCTCAACCACTGAGCCACACTGGCCAGGCTATCTCTATTTCTTTTGAGTTTGACTGTTCTTTTTTTTCACCCTGTCTCTTGTATTTCATTGTGTTATTTTACTTCAGGGTATGTGATCTTTTATTACATGTGGGATTAGGTCAACTTGAATTAGCTCACATGGATTTTCTTTGCATGAGTGTGTGTGTGTGTGTGTGTTTGCTGTATCTACTCATAACCTCTCCTGATGCGAGATCTGGCTGTGAGCTCTATCAGTGTGGGAAGGAGCCAAAGTGGGGATCCTCATCACTAGTCGCCGTAGTGAAGAGTACTTGGCCTTGAGGAGAGGGGCCTTTATTTCATTTACTTCCTGAGAGATTTTATTTTTCTTTGCACTCAATTTCTCCTTGACTCTTCCTTCTCTCTAGATCTGTGCTGCTTCTCAGGCTCTTATGTCCCCCATTGTTTCTAGAGAGTTCTCTAGAAGGGCTTTGTCTTGAGGCATGAGGCATGCTTGTTCTGTATACACAAGGGATGGGGATGGGCCTGAATGAATCATCTGTCCCAAGTTCAGATCCTCTGTTGACTTCCCAAGAGAAAATAGCATCTATTTCTGATGTTTGGACTAATTATGTTTTTAATTTGTTGATTCTTTGTTAGACTTCCCAAGAAGGAATAGCATCTACTTCTGGTGTTTGGAGCTTTAATCTACTCTGTCCACATAAATCCTTTACTTCCTATATTTTTATAATTATTTTCATTTTTATGGAGGGTGGAAAGTTTCAGATATTTGAAGTGAAATTGTCATCTCACCTAGAATTCTACTACTGTTATCTTTGTGTATGTGTGTTTACACTTGTGACCTTTTCTTATATTAAAAAATAATCGCATTGACCTGCTAATCTGTGCAATAAGAGAGTAATACCTGTTTGATTTTCTCTTCAAAGCTGTACCTCCTGGTATCTGTGGTTTCTGATTATTATAAGAAAAATGAATATTTCAAATAGCAAAAGATTGGAGTCACAGTGATTACTTAGATAAGTAGGTAAAAGAAAAAAAAGCACTAAATAGAACCAAGAATTTTATTTAAACCATTTCCCAATTTACAGGGTCACATCATTTCTTTTATGTTCATAATTTTTGCAATATAGGGCAAAAATCAGTAGAATACTTAGTTGTGCCTCTATCAATTGTCTTACATCTCAGCTCCTTATTTGCTACTGACAGAAATATGATTCTAAGGCTTCAGTTTCTATTTCCCTGTTTTATTTCAGCCTTGAGTTTGAAAAATATTTCACTCCTTTTCTGCCATCCCCCTTACTTTATATTCTCTCTAATTTTCCAGTCATTTTTCCCCCAATTATTATAAACATCATTGCCTCTAATACTTCTCCATAGTACTTGCTTTAACTATCTCATACAAAATGTTCATATAGATTTCCCCTTATTTATTCTATCTAAATAAAATTTTACTAATCACGATCAAAATAATCTTCATTTTACTGGCTATGAGAGATTTGCCAGAGAATGCATTTTCTCTAGGAAAGGGTAGATGGAATTTTATGCTAAATGATGAATAAGGACTATTGTGATATATACGTATGAATACCCAGATCCTCACTAGGCCTGGGTTCTCTTTGTTGTAGACGTCTCCATTGTGGTTGGGGTGCTGTTTCCTGTGGCTGTCATATTTGTGGTGTGTGCTATAGTATTCAGGCATCAAAGCACCAGAGGAAAGCAAAAGAAAGTCCAGAGGTAGGTTTTTATCTGGGGGCTTTTGGGCCTCTAATGAACTTTAAATTCAAAGATGTGACCCAAATTCTCAAATTTAAATTTGGTTTACTTCAAATACTTAGAAATAAGTATAGGCCTGGCTGGTGTTGCTCAGTGGTTGAAGTTTGACCCAGGAACCAAGAGGGCTCCATCCCCAGTAGGGGGCGTGCAAGAGGGAACTGATCAATGAAGTTTCTCTCTCATCCATGTTTCTATCTCTCTATTCCCCTCCCTTCTTCTGTCTCTAAAAAAATTAATAAAAACATGTATTAAGAAAAAAATAAGTGCAGAAACATTTTGCTTAGATCAGAGGCTGAGTATTCCTTTTACTGAGAAAACTTTCACAGTAAGGCATGTCTTTTTCTCCTGTAATTACTGTGTATATATTTAATAATAAGATTAATAACTCTTTATTAAAGATTTTGTGCTCATTATAATAATACAATATATAATCTTTATTGATTATTATCTTTATGATAAACACTGTTAGTAAGTCCTTTTATGTACATTATCTCATTTAATCCTCTTAAGAATATCATGAGGGTAGTAACTATTATTTCTATTCTATAGATTAAAAGATGTTATATATCAATTTTACAACAATCATGCAAGGCCAGGCACTTCACATTTTACTGATATGGAAAGAAGCTCAGAGAGGTCAATAAACATGTTCAAAGTTGTACAAAGTAAGTGATGGAGTCTTGATATGCACCAAGATCAGTCAGTCTTTTGAAAATGGTCTTGGCACTACAGCATCTTTCTTGCATTTTTTTTTTAAAAACTAACTATTTATCCAAAATGGGCTATTAATAAATAGTGAAGGAATAAAACAAATCATTAATTAGATGGCATAATTTAGATAAAAGTTGGATTCCACACCATCATTATTAGGATTCAGGGCTCTGCAAGAGAATCAAAAAGAAAATCAGTGTTGGTAATGATGAATTACAGAACACAGAAACCTGAAGAACATCCTAGGGAGCAGGTGAAAACCCAGTCATTCACTAATTATGGCACAATGGGCAAAGGAAATTGGCAGATTTATCATGAGTTTCTCCCTAATGGTGAACACACTGCTTGGTCAATTTGTATGATATCCTTTCACCTACAGGTCACAGTCTGACCTTGGCACCAGGCCATGCAGAGAGAAGAGGAAACCACAGACAATGAAGGCTCTTCATTGCAAAGAGGTGAACATAGTCTGTACTATATTTGCTGTGGACCCCAATTTGTGATTTTCTCCCTCTCTTGTGCTGACCATCTATCCGTCATTTCTACTCATCAGTGTTTTATAAATGTATGACGCTTCTGAGTACGCAGCAATGATTGTGGGCTCTGTAACTACACATTCAGAAAGTTGTCCTCTGCCTTTGGTTAAATGTAGAAGTCTCCTTAAAATGCGGAAACTCAGTGGCTGCTTTGCTGGGATTCACAAAATGCAAACACAATAAGAGGACAAGGAGGGCAGATGTCAGCTGTCAGATTTCTCTCTCTCTCTCACTCTCTCTCTCTCTCTCGATTTCTTATTCCTTTAAAAATATCCCAGTAAAGAAAATAATATGTGTATTTGTATGACAATACATGTAATATGTATAAGTCCTAATGCCTTGGTTGTGTCCGGCAAGTTTAGAAATTTTAGCAGAAGTTGGCTAGTGATAATGACATTGGTAATAATGTTTTTGATGGAGACTTACAAATCTCTGATAGCTCTGGACATAGCAGAATGCAGCAGCTGGGCCACTGTGATTTTTCCATCTGGTCTTTTGGTGTCATCATAGTCTTGGTCTCCGATGCTTTGAAAGGATTGCTTATTTGGAACATGAACATAGGAAATTGATAAAATTCATTTAAAAAATATTTTTTCTTTTTAGAAAAGTCAGATGAAGCTTCATGCCCTTGACCTGCCAGTGGATGGCAGTGAGCCTCCAGCTTCTTTTGTGAGTTAGCAACTTCTCTTAAATCACTTCCAGCCTAACCTTGAGGAAATAGTAGTGAAAGTCACAACCCACAATGCCCAATTATTTCTTTAGAAGGATGTTAGAATCTGTGTGAATGTAATATAAAGTATAGATTCTTCTACACAACATTTTGAAAATGTCAAATTTGAGAATGTGTACCTGTCCATTATACTCCTAAATTTAACCCTTAAACCAGAATTACCAGGTCTATAAAGCTGATAACTCATTACAGGAAGAGTGCCAATCTGCTTCATACAATGGCATCCCGATCATATGTCTATTGGCATTGGACTTATTTCTCAATTGGATGTGTACACCAAAATGAAAACAATTGAACTTACAGGTTTAGAATATTCTCATGGGTAAAGTCATAAATTCTCTGAAAATTATTTCTGAAAATAATTTAATCCTTTCCATTAAGTGCATTTGTTTTCAAGGCCCAACCTTTGATTTTTTTTTTTTTTACCTCTTACTAGCTAATTACAAAGCCAGATTTTCCACCACCTCCGATTCCTACTTCTGTGTCATCTTCTTCCTTCCTTGTACTAGTAAGTATCAGATGATCCCCGATGATCTTTAAAATGTCTTTTGTGCCAATGTGAATAATATCTCTAAATCTATGGGTTCTTTATCAAGATATGTGCTCCATAGGCTAATCTGAGATAGCATAACAAGTTCTATTTACTATCTATAAATTAGTATGGGTATTAATTTATTATTATTAAAAACAGCTCTGTTATATTGTTAAGAAATGATCAATAGTTCTGCTGTAGAAGGCTGTCTCCCTCAAAGGACGGTGTCTAGATGTTGATTTTGGAGGATGTAAAATTTAATAAGTTATATTTACTTTTCTATTTATTGTAGGTAGAATAGAGCCTATATTAGTCATAGTTTCTGTAGGAGGTAGGGCATGAAAAATAGCCCACATATAGGCAAACAAGGAATCAAAGTCAGGCACTCATGAAGTAAAGGGTAGAATTCATTCACTCAAATAGTTACTGAGCATATTTCTACATACTTGATGCTCTGTTGTGGGTAAATGGAAAAACTAAAACTTAAGGTATTTTTTTTGAAGAACTTTTACAATTTTAGTAGGAAAACAAGTCAAATATATATGAAGCACTTATTTGCTTATATATTATTTATGTCAAAGCTGGTGATTGGATGAGAAGAATATGGTGAAGAGGAAATGAATGGGGTCAGGGTGGTTAAAACAGGAATTTGAGAGTTAGGTAGAATTTAAATGAGTGCTGACAAGGTCAGGAATGATTTTTTAAAAAGTATAGCTAAGATGGGAAGTGCATAGCATTTCTAAAGTCTTACCATTATTTTTGTCCATAATATAGCATGAAGAAACAAAGGTCCTTTCCTCTACTGTTTTCAAGGATAAGCCAATGTCTATGCCTAAGGTATGAGATCCATAGCTAAACTATTATAATCGTGTAGCACTCCTGGTATCAAGGAAAGAATAACCATATTTCCCTAGAAGATGTTCACTAAGAATAATATCTGTATGATTATAGGATGGGTGCTAGCATATGTCTTCCTTCTGAGTTTGCCCAATAACCAAGAGGAAAAAGATGGATGTGTCTTAGCTATGAAGTGATGATGATCTCAATATTATTCATTCTCTCAGAAATACTCCACAGAAATATTGAGATTGTGGAAGTATCCCATAGAATAATAATCACCTAGTATCTCAAAACTTTTCTCCTGATTCCCCCCACCATCTCCATATTATGCTAATTAGCTAGATAGATATTTGCATCCCAGTGTGGTATTTTTCTTACCTTCTTTCCTTACACTCCCATGTTTCCACTCCTTTCCTGTGATGTATGAAATAATCCATAAAATAGGAAGTACTACAGATAATTAATTTTAATTTCTTAATATTTCAAAATTATGAGATATATACATTTTTTAGGAAAAAGTTGATCATTTAAGTGTATTGTCTTTTTTAGGGCTCCAATCCAAATGTCTGAAGCAACAGCTAAGCAAGGATTGGTGGGTAAATGATCAACTTGAATGATGGGACAATCTGGATAGAAGAGAAATATATGGGCTATCTAACTACTATTTGCTCTTGATACCCAAAGAGGTTAACATTTCTTGATTCATGTTATACTTTGAAGAGATGAAATAAAATGTTTAAGAGAGATGTACTTTTGAGAATCTTTGAATTTAAAATTTATATTCTACATAGGGAAGGAAGATGACTCTACAGATACAGCTATGAAGCTGAAATTTCTAATTAGGTTTGGTAGGAATTAATTCACCCTGTAATGAAAACAAATAAACAAGTAATCAAAGAAAACTGGGAAGGATGGGAGAAAATAGTACATTTATCATTAGAAGACTAACAACAACTCAATTGTTTTAACTATTAACCTGTCAAATTAGAACCCTTTGTTAAAAAGAAAAAGTATATAACCATTTTCTGATTTATATAATATCTTTCCTACATTATCGTCTATAATCCATATTAGTTGTGTAATTTGAGGTTTACTACAATTGAATAAACTTTACTAATAAAAATATTTTTCATAGAAATTTGTATAATTTAGTTACTGGCGAGGTTAAAGTGAGCTTCACTTTCTAAGTAAAGAACTTTCAGTTAAATAAAAAAAAATTAGAGATTGTAAACTGGTAGCCTTCCAGACATGTATGAATTGCAGGTTTATTCGTATTGGACCTGAATAATTTGGGTCACAAAGTATTTTTAAGTGTTTTTGAATTTATTGCCAATATTTAAAAGTTGGGACATCTTGTATAAACATCCAGATTTCCAGCTTATTAAAATTAATCAAATGTTCTGTCAACACTAATCACAGGCTCATAGCAACCATCTGCTTAGTTGGCTGCTGATGAGCAAACATCGCTGGTTGCCTGCCAAATAGCCCTCTTCTTTCTTGTTTCCATTACGCCAATTTGTTCAGTTGTCCATGTTTTAAAAGAATAACTCTCACTCTAATGGGTAAATCTCTACTACTCTAAGTCAACATAAGAATCTAATCTCCCTTACTGGTGGTTGATTTGGAGGTGAGTGTAGCTCCCCCTGTTTTAGCCAATGAGACAAGAAAGGAGACATGCTGGGGAATTTATGGGAAAGATCTCCTTGTTCCTTCTTCTAGATGTTGGCATCTGGATATCCTGTCTGGTAGTGTCGCAGCCATGTTGCAACTATGAGGGCAAGACTGATATACAGAACAAGGTAGAGCAGAAAGATGAAAAGAATAAATCCTGGTCTTTTAATGATGTTATTGAACTGGTCGATTAGTAACTGCTGGAGTCACCCCATACTTTGTTGGGACTTCCTATTGATATGATCAATAAAATTTCTTACTGTTTAAGCAATTTCAAGTTGAATTTTCTCTTACTTGTAACAGAAGTCATCTCAACTAATAAAATAGCTGCTCCATTATTAAGGCCCATACTTTCCACTTCATCAATACTGCTGTACATTTTTTATACTTGGCCTGCTTTACCCATTTGCAGCACAGATCTGGCCTTATTGGCCTTCCTTTCCAGGACGGACTTTGCCCATATGATGTTCATTTGCCCTTGCAGTGTGAATTTCTAGATAAATTCATTCTGGCCTCAAAAGCGAAGCTCAATCCCCAGTAATTCCAGAGTCTATCTGCCAGATCATTGTCATTGTACCAGCCTTTCTTTCCATGTGGGGTTTACTCAAGAACACATTAAACATATTGCTTTATCTGCAGTGTGAGGTTTCAGAAGACCCTGCCCTAACCCAGAAATAAATTCCTATTTGCAGCAAGGCCATAATCTTACGTGTGATCAATCTATTAATCTTCGCTGGTTTTTGTTGTTGTTATTTGATTTGTTTTCATTCCTGTCCCTCTCTCATTCTTTTAAGATTGACAAAATGGGAATCTTGAACCTATGACTTTTCAACCAGCCACCTACATAACCTGAGATAGAAGTAAAACATATTCCTGTAGATTCTGAAATGATGGCACTAGGTCCTTGATGTTTATGGAGATGGAAGACAGGAGGACGACAGAAAAAAGCATTCTCTTTTCCTAAGGCTTTGAAACCTTACGAAGTTTCCTGGTGAGCTGAACTGTAGCCCAATTTAGACAATTTAAAGCAAAGACTTTGATTTCACAGTCCTGTTTCCAAGCTAGATCTACAACATACTAACTTTAAGGGAATTGTACTAATATGACATTTAACCACCTCGCGTAGTCCACCAAACCTTTTTTATAATTAGGCGTTATTACCTTCTCTACTTTTTAAAAATTGTAACAGGTTAAACTGTGGTCTTTTCCAGGTACTCTAGAACTGGTATACCATGGGGTATCTCTAAATACTCCTTAGCACTTCAGTCAGTTACTGCCTCTTATGACTTTGGGGATGTTTTAACTTTGTATGAAATCATGAAGTATGCATGAAAAGGAAAGCAAGCTTCAGTTGCGATCAGGATGGAGCTATGCTATTGTTTAAGTTGGTAATAATGACACCTATGTGGTAAAGAATTGAGGGTGACCTCTGGCTAACAGCCAGTGAGAAAGTGAACACTTTAGTCCAACAACCCTCAAGGAGCTAATTCTGCCAACATCCATCGAATGAGCTTGGAAACAGCTCTCATACTCGTTGGATCTTGACTGACACCTTGGGAGAGAAATTGAAGCAAAAGACTCAGCTAAATTTCGTTCGCATTCTGCAAGCACAGAAACCGTGAGAGAAAAACTATATTTTCTTTTAAGTTGCTCTGATTTGGGGAAATTTGTTGTATAGAAAATGATAACTTCTACAAAACGAGTAGAGTTCAAATGTTTCAAGTATTCCAGACTGGTTTACATAGACTTAACTACTATATTTAACAGGATTTCCATCATCTCAAAAAATGTTTTTCTTCATATTTTCTTTAATTTATTCCTTTCTCTTTTTTATGAGTACTGATTATCTGCTTGAGATCACTGATATCCAGTCTTCTCAAATAATCATGTTCTTTCTCACTTTTGTTTACCTATTTTTTGGGGGGTATTTTTGATGAGTTCCTTAATTTTAGCTCCAAAGTTTTTGATTTTATGTTCAATACTGTCAATGCTCATTTTGTACTAATTTTAAGGCATTTTATAATGTTCCTCATCTTTGCTTAGTAACATTCTCTTCTCACATTAGTTTTGTAAAGGCCTGCCAATTAACTTTTTTCCTTTTGTTTCCACAATTTTACTTCTAAAATGAAATTCGCAAAGCAAAATTGGTCTAAACTTTATTAGTGTGCCTCAAAGTAACTATTTTTCAAAAATTGTATCTTCCTCAGCCATTTGAGTACTATGCTCCTGATCACTCAGCAACACAAGTATTTCCAGGTGGCTCACCTTTGTGTTTTAAAAGTTTTATTTTAACCTGTAAAATATTCTCACATTTTATATATTTGATGATATATTCTATCCCTTGAGCTAAAGAACTTTGGTACACTAGCATTCTGAGTGTAATATAGGAAGAGGTGGGTTCATAAGTAAATCTTGCATATTCTTCTCTGCCCAGATTATTTTTTTCTTCGTAGGCTACTGGTAGATCTGTCTACCAGGGCCAGACAGGGAGTGGCATAGTTCTATTGGTGATGCTGAGATCCACCTCATCAGGAAAGCTCCTGACTCATTAAAGGGAAAGCCTCAAACAATATAATTTGCAACCATCTTGGCACATTTGCTCTTGAATTTCTCTAGTCTTTTCTGCTGCTTCCAGAAAAAGACCTTTATTTGGTAATGACCACTTTAGACATTGCTTAACAATTAGCCTGGGATGTTTGCTATGCTGCTCAATTAATACCATGACTCTTATTACTAAGCTAAGTAAGCGAGAATGTCATGGACACTAAATCTCTAAGCAGAGGAAAATGATGGTATGTAATTTATGAAGGCATCTCCTTGTTAAAATTGGACTCTTTTCTCTCATACTTAGTATTGAAGCTTATATTTTATTTTTAAAATAATATTTTATATGCCTTAGCCCAGTAGATCAGTTGGTTAGAATATCACCTCAATATGCTATGGGCTGTGGTTGCAGGTTTAACCCCTGGTCAGGGCACATACAAGAATCAACCAATTAATGCATAAAGAAGTGGAACAACAAATTGATGTTTCTGTATGTGTGTGTGTGTGTGTGTGTGGTGTGTGTGTGTCTTTCTCTTCCTCTCTATTGAAAATCAATTTTTAAAAAGTTAAAAAAAGAATATATTGTGGTAAGAGCACAACATGGGATCTACCCTATTAATAGATTTTAAGTGTACAATACAATATTGACATATATAGGCACAATGTGTACAACAGATCTCTGATCTTGTTCATCTTGAATAAATAAAATGCTATACCCTTTGAGTAACAAATCCCCATTTCCCCTTCCTAATCCCTGGCAACTACATTCTAAGCATTGCTTCCACAAGTTTAACTATTTTGATATCACATATAAATGAAGTCGTGCAATATTTGTTCTTCTGTGATTGGCTTAGTTCATTTAGCATAATGCCCTTCAGGTTCACCTAGGTTGTTGACATGTTTCATTTCCTTTTTAAGGCTGAATAATATTCCATTGTATGTATATACCATAGTATTTAAATCTATTGATCCATTGATGGGCATTTGCATTGTTTCTACATTTCTGCTCTTGTGAATCAATAAACATGGGATTGAAAGTAACTCTTCAAGATCCTGATTTCAATTTACCCACCCTCACAAACTCTTGTTTTTACTGATCAATTTAATAACAGCCATCCTAACAAGTGGGAGGTAATATTTCATTGTGCTTTTAATTTGAATTTCCCAGATGATTAGTGAATTTAAACACCTTTTTGTATACCTGTTAGCCATTTGTATGTCTTCTTTGGGAAAATGACTATTTAGGTGCTTTGCTCACTTTTAAATCTGGTTATTTGTGGATTTTAAAAAAATCCTATATAATAAAACCCTAATATGCAAATCGACCGAACAGCAGAACAACCGGTTGCTATGACATGATGTGCACTTACCACCAGGGGGCAGACGCTCAATGCAGGAGCTGCCCCCTGGTGGTCAGTGAACTCCCACAGGGGGAGAACTGCTCAGCCAGAAGCCAGGCTCACAGCTGAAGGGCACAGTGGCTGTGGAGGGAGCCTCTCCTGCCTCCACTGCAGGCGGGCAGT